TTAGAAGCCCTCCCTCCGCAAACCACCTCACCCACCACCCCCGCACCCAGTGGAAAGGCAGGACTAATCATTGAGAATCCGCCCTCCCAAGGGAGCACTGAATGGTTGCCTTGTATAGAAGAGCGACGAGAAGAGCTCTGTTGTGTGTATGTTTGTATGCAGCATCCCTACAGTACCTATTTTGGTGTGTAAAACATAGCTTCATGGTGTCCGATTTCAAGAGATTGGCCATATACCCGACAGTATTAAAGGGGGTATCTGGACGCTGACCTTCTGACCCCACTAACCCCCTCGTAGGATGGCTGCGTAACTGCTTTACGCCAGTGTGTCTGTGTGAGGGAGTGAGTGTGTGAGTGTGTGATGCAGAGCAGCAGCTGTTCTCCAGATGTCTTCAACTCCCCCCAAAAGGGGTAAAAATGATAGCAGGAAAAAAAAAAAAAAACTATAGACGAGGCCTCATGTGTGTCTGTATATCTGATGGGATCCAGGGTTGTTTCTGTGGAAACGCACACAGTGTGAGAAGGCTGAAATATGTGATTGCACAGAGCTGAGAACAAAATTCCAATCGGTCAGAAAGAATTGAACTTTTGCCTGCCACCATTGCATTACTCTGAGAACCGGCCTTTACCTGTTCAGCATGCCTACGGTCTGGGGGTCTGGACACAGTCAGAATCTGGTGCTTCATAGACCTGAGCCTGCATGCAGAGTTGTCAAAGAAAGCAAGATTAGTTTTCTTTTAGGTCACTGGTCTCCATTGTTTATATTTTTCGAGCCACACTAAGAGAAACGCTGTAACAAAAATGCTAAAAGCCGAAACATGTAGATTAAAACTAAGGTGGACAAAAGATCTTATCTCATCTTGTCTGTGGCCTTATTTCTCATTAGTGACTTGGGCCACAACGAAGTTCCACACGTTTCTCTGCTTGCTACCGACTGTAGGGCATATGAACGTTTACTTCCTTTATGTTTTTGACTGATGCCATGTATAGTGCTAATTTCTAAACAGCGACAGCTTTATTACATCCTTCTCTTGATTGGTCCGTAGGTCTTCTATGCCTGAGGCTAAAAAAGCCTCTGTAATGAGTGCAGGTCCAGGCAGGTAGCCCCCAATGAGATGGTAGTGGGTAATGCATTTATCAAGCCCAGATCCCATGGAGCCATTTAGCTAATTGCATATCAGGGTCTGCTACTTATCTGTGACGGTGCAGGAAGACAGAAGACAATTAGTTAGTGGACCTCTGTCCGTCAGCACTAAAAGGCTTAGATGTGCTGTTTTTTTCCATGATTGAAAACTTTCACTCATTTAGAGATGGACGCGTACAACACCCTTCTAGGGTGATTTCTTTTCCCCTCAGAATTCTGTACATTTCTCTGTCTTTGTGTGTTAGATTTGAAATTGCAAAGTTTAGTTTCAGTGGTGCACTGGAGAGGTTTTGTGCAGATTGCTACAGTTTAATACCCCAATGACATGTTTGCAGTGACGTCTATATCCCAGCGGAACCACTACAATGTCAGACCAATGTGTGCTGAGCTGAAGGATATTTGACCCACTGTAAACAAGATGTGCTTCAAAGTTCCTCCTGATCTTTGGGCAAAACTCATGAGATGCAGGATTTCAACAGTTTTGCATTAGTTTGAAATATTAGCTAATATGTTTAACACTCGGCTGCATCTTTCAGTTGCAGAGTGAAATTATTCCATTCATTTTGTTCCCCAAATGATCAAAGAAGCAGTCGTGTTTTGTCAAAAGTTTGTAAAATGCAGATCAGAAGGAAAGCTGTTTCGGCTCTGTGATGGTGTGCCATTGATCTGTGAGACTGCCAACAGCAATGAACTCATCACTCAGCCTCCATTTGTTTGAATGGAGCTGCCCTATGGCAGCGATGATGGGGCAATAAATCAGGTGACTGTGGTTAATTCACACTTTGGTCTTTGATTGATAGCCAAAACCTCACGTCACTGTGCTGTGACACATCGTTTTATTCCATCACCCCACACAAATCCTGTGAATGATACGAGTTACCTCCTCGGCCCATATGTGATCGCGCTGTGCAAGTGTTGAGACCTCATGGTGGGAGGTTTCATTAAACCTCATTTTTGGGCTGCGGTACTATGTTTCCCAGACTCCATTTTTGTTTGACTTCTCTTGTTGTTTCACTTCTTTGGCTCTCTGAGATTAATGAAACTGCAGGATGGAAGGCACAATAAACTCCCTAGTGGCTTATTGTGCTTCCAAAGACGGCCATCTTTGATGCACACACCCCCTTGAAACACACAAAGAAATACACTAGGTACAAGATGAGTAACCTAAAAGTCAGTTTTTCTTTCTTTTCCTGTGTTTGGAGGGGTGTGGAGGTGTGGGGTTGTTGAAAGAAAATGAATACATAAAAAATCTCAACAGCGTACTTTTTATTTTGTGCACATTATTGTCCCTTGTGTACATGGTTGACGCCCCCTGGGTCGTGTTTCCTAAACTAAGCCTGTTGGATTCTGCTCATAGCAATCCCCCCTCAATCTGAGAGGAAAGAATTATAAGAATGCAGATGTCTCTTAAGGTGTGTGAGATAAAGTTTTCTTTTCCTCCAGTCGGCCAAGTCTAATGTGAGTGCTTGTATATGTATTTTCTTCGTTGTATAATTGACTCTTTACAGTTATTAATTAGCTGTTTTATTGTAATGCTATCGGTGAGAGGTTTTCCATCCTTTACTCTAAAGTGCATTTAATTTGAAGCCTTGTTAATTAGTGCCATTATAACCACGTACTACCGCAGAGTATAAACGCTGCAGGCTGTAGTTTAAGTAGAATTTCTTGTTGAACTCTAATCCATTTAGACCGGAGGCAACAATACGGACGTGCAGCAAAACCCTCTCTGCCTTCTGGTCCTCTGTTTATTAAAGCAGCGTATGAGGTCTGTTGGTTGTCTCAGGAGCTCTATAGATTTGTTCCTCTATAGACAGACTCGGGGAAAGGACGTTTGTTTCTTTTCCTTTTTAGGAAAAAACGCTTCGTATAAGGTCAGGTGAAAAGAGACCGACTCTCCTGTCAAGTGATGTTCCAGACCTTTGAACTATAATGTAAATGCTGGAGGGAATGTCTTCCTCTTTTTGTAATCAGCAGAAGTCGTCCACATGAATCACACTGGAAAAAGTTGCCTTTGTTCCCTCGGAACTAAGATATATACTGTATAGAGCTCCTCCAAGTACTGCCATGGTGTAATGTATAAAATTAAAATAGAACCTGGAAGGTGAGTCATTTTGCCTCCCTGTAAGAAACCTAAAACCCAGTGTCGGAACTCACTGAAGCTCATGGGAAAGGTCGTTGTTGCTGCTAAATGCCTGAGCAAAAGCTAGACTGGCTCTGGTCATTGGCTTTATTTTCATGGAAGCATTTAGTTTTGGTGTAGATCTTTCTCCTGTTTTCTGCTAAATGTTCTCAGTCTCATCACTGTGTGTGTGTGGGAACAAACCACTTCAGTTGTTTATAGGATTCCTCCGCCATTACATGGATGCTCGTGAGAATGGAGGGTTGTTGCAGCAGCACTGTGTGCAAAGCCCTGTGAGGGAAAAAGTACAGTTTCAGCCCTCCAGGTGTTGCCTTTCCCTCTGACACTTTGCCTTTTTAAGAGGCCTTTCACTTCACCCATCAGTCCCCAAAACCTGTCCATGGAGCGGCTGCTGCCTGTGCCGTTTAACTCTGGGCACAGGCACCGCATCGTCCTGTGTGGACAAGTGTCATTATGCTGCCTTTCTTGGAATATTCAAGTTTTCCTGGTTATTCTGGTACAGAACATTTGGAAATGATAACCTCAGGAAACACTGGATATGCCACTAACTCATGCAATAACAAACGATCTGTGCCGTAATCATGATTCCACTTTGGCATGCCAGTTAAAAAAAAGTATACACCAAATACATACAAAAGATTTTCTTCAGAGAAACTGTTTTAAAATAAGCTGTCAGGACCTCTGAAAGGTTGTGATGTCATTCTACAAGTATAAAGTCATCATCCGTAGTTGTGCAACCGTAAACGCCCGCCTTGGTGTTGCCAGGGAATTCATTTTACTGTCAGCAGAGGCTCGGCAAACCTCCTGAAATGGGCGTGGGCTACTTGTGTGATATTTTTATATGTTCCAGGGACATGTGAAGCTTCCTTTTTGCGATGTGTATTATTTAAAAGAATTTAGGGGTCAGAGGTTAAAGTCTCAGGTTTTTTACGCTTACTGCATTCCACCAAGTCTTTGCTTTTGGATTATTTCCATCTCAGGTCAGCCGAAGAGGGTTAATTAAAATACATCGTCAGTTTTTTTTATGTCTCAGAAACGCACCTGGAGGACAGTGTGCCTGTTTAATCAAGCCAGATGACCACTTCACATAGTTTGTAATCAGGCAGCAGCCAGCTCCTTATTGAACAACCCACAGCTGGTGGGAAACTGACAGGAGCCCACATCCTGTCGCTACAAGCTCCTTAATGCCATTGTTATCATCTTGAGCCGCATTAACATGTTCTTGGCAATTGCAAGAGATATTATTCAATTTTAATTTAATGTTGACACTGCGTTTGAATTTTCATTAGCTGTAACTTAGTTTTTTAATGATTCTTTCTATGGGTTGTTTTATCACTGAATTATTGTTCCTCATCTTCTATAAGATACTGAAGACTGGAACAATCTTCTATTGAAACCACTCCAATCCACTTAACTAGATTAGAATATTGTTATTTACCGCTTTGTAGACTGGACAGCAAGGCTTTAATTATTTCACCCATCATTTTGATTATGTTTAGCTCTAGGCGTATCATCCTTATGTGCACGGCCTATTACAGATGTCACGAAATGTCCCGCTGAGCGTTGGCTCATGGGACTTTCTGTGGGGCGCTGGCACGTTTTATGTGAGAATCTACTTTTTATGAAGAGGAAAGATAGCAAATCTCTTTGTCTTTTTAAGATGTGTATGTATTCTCTGCATTTTGTCTCATAAGTGTCTCACCATTTTGTTTTTCAGCTGTGAAGATCAGCAGACATCCAAGACTGCATTTTCCCCAGCAATCAGGTATGAAGCTATTAATGGAGTCATGAAGACACATAATGAGAGAATTATTTCAACTGGCTCATTTGCGCTGGGGCTGGATAGACTTGGGAATATCATTACAGATGGTGCATGCACTGCTTATGGGTGAGGAAAAGCTAGCTGAAAATGTGTGATCTGGATTTACGTTGATTTAGAATAAGAAGTCACACATTTTAATGGTTTTTTTAAGGCTGTTGATCTAATATGGTCTTTACACGAACAAATGAAATCCACACAATACTTTCCCATTCTTTTATTGCAAAGATATACACCTGCTGTAATAAGATGGAGGTGAGGCATCCGTGTCTGTGTGGTGATTCCTGTATTGTCTGCTCCATGTTTGTCCTGGTAGCGAGCAGTTGTATGAATGCATACAACTGCTTACAACAGAATGAAATATTTTTAGTGTTTATCCTGCAGGCTATTGGCTTTTTCTGCTGGTTTCAACTGGGGGGTATAGTGTTATCATGCGCCTATATTTAAATGGTTTTATCTTTTGGTTTTCTCTCTTTTGTCGTGAAGTCATTTGCCTCACTTGCCTGGAATACACTAGAAGCAGGGTGTTGGATCCACGTCTTATTCATCTTATATGCATAACTTGGCTTGAAACATGACACATCAGAGCAGGTGAAAATGAACTTCCTAATTTCTGTTTCCCCCGGAAGGAAGACTCTGTAAACAAAACATACTACATTTGAAGCTACTTGCCATTATACTTATAAGTTCCAAAATTTTCTCCTCTGTGGACATTTTGATAAATGGAAACATTTACGTTGAACATGCAAGGAATAAACTGAATATTTATTCGTGTACACACATCTCTCATGCAGTATTGCAGATTTTCAAGCGACATCGATGTGCAAAGCAATTAACTGACAGCATCTGGTTCCCAGCTTCTCTATAACCACGCTCCAGTCCACAAAATGACTTTACAGTTGCTGTGTGTTGAGGTTTTCCAGCAGTTAATGGCCTCGGATGTCGATTTGCATGATGCCATGCCTCAACAAGCAGCCAGATCTCAGCATAAACTTATGTTCTCAAAGTTCTCAGCTAAAATGTTCAGCACATTGCCCTGCACTGTTCATATTAAAACCTTTTATCATTCAATCAATAAAACTGTTACATTGGGGTAAGATGGTGGACTATTTCTCCAGTTGCCAGGAAACTAATAGCCAAAGCTGTGAGAGAAATCAAGATCTAAGTATTTCACACTGGTTTAACCTCTGTTTCATCTAGGCTTTTCTGTGTATGCGCAAGTCATTGCTGTCATTGCTGTGCTCAGCCAGTGTGATCCCAGCCTCAAACAGCTGCTCATTGTCTTCTCTGTTGACAGTTGGAGCATATTTCTCACACAAGATTAGTCTAGTCTGAGCTCAGTTTATGTAGCTGCAGGATAGCGAAACACTGAGATTAAGTCTTGATAGAGTTTTCAGTTCTATAGATCATCTTTTGTTTAGTCTACGTCAAGCAGTCCTGTTCTAAAAAAACAAAACTATAATGGACATAAAGCTTTATGTCCACAAGACAAACCATGTCATTATAAGGTAATTACTCTGTAAGGAGTTTTATTGCTATCTAAACATCCCAATGTATCCTAATGGTATCACTAAGTGTCTACCAGTATAATTGTGAGCTGAATTTCATAGATCTACATGTAATTGCATAACTTCTCCACACCTGTCTAAGCTGAAGATTAAAATATTCTCCAGCCTGATCCATTTCATGGTCATTAGATTGCTCTCTGGGCCTCAGCCCACAGCAGACAGGGACAACAACCACTCAAAATAGGATTGTGATTAATCCAATAAGTTTCTTGACAGGTATGTGTATTTTTGACATGTCACAAGACATGTTAAGTCTGATGTATGCTCATGTTGCAAGAAATCTAACAGTGATACCAGGAGATGTGTTCAAAGTTTAGTGAGGTGACTTGTTTGGTGTGGAAGCAGGTTCTGCCTGCTCTTACGTTCCCTGGAACATGACTGGTTTCTGACCACATCCTTTATCTGTTCCATACTTTCCTTAGATTCTCTCCATTGCCAGACATTTACTGGTAATCAGTGCTCATGACTCTAAGCGTCCCGTATAGCGGATGACAAGCATTACTGCAGTGAATCACCCGCTTTCAAAGCAGAGTGACCGTGCTCTCAGTGGGCAGTGTTGCTCTTCTCAGTTAGGGTGAAATCTTTGTGCCTGGTGTCCACAAGACCTGATTGGAAGTCTGTATTTGTCTGTATTCAGATTTGACATTTACATATGTTCATGACTAATAAAGGTTTGGTTTTCATATTTAAAGTATCCATTAGTTTAATACCCTTATCTTCATGTCTTAAAGTATCCTCTTGTTGTTCCTTTTTTTGTTCTGTCCACGCATCCAAACATATTCAAGACCACCTATGTCTGTTTTGACATGTTTAGTGATATACATACCTGCCAGTACTTTGTTCAGCTTCCCAACGATCTCACTTCAGTCAACAACTCCTAAGGTACAGAGATGTTTACCTTAACACAGCATTGTATATTGACAAAGTGTTAGTGTAATATATTAGTGACAATCATAAGTTATGCTGTTAAGAGTGATTTGAAATCCATAGCAGTACATAACTTATTCCTTTTGATAGTTTAATATCTAAAAGCTGTTTCCATTCTGGGTAAATTGAATGGTAAAATGTCTCTATGAAAATTCCTCTGCTTTCATGCTGAGGAATATAAATGGAATAAATTATAGGCCAGTCTGCCATTTTACTTCAATCACTTTTTAATCATTGTATTTTGCTCCTTTGCTCCTTAACTCTTCATAAGAGGCTGCTTGTGTATTCTGCATAATCTCCATTGGAGACAGATTGTAGCTGTGTGAGAGACGGTGAGGAATGACACAGGAAGGGAAAGTGAACAGAGATCTGCTCTGCTCTGACTGTGACTTGTGCCTTATGTTGCCAGAAATTAGCACTGGCACATAAAGCAGAGTGAGTCACATTTGTGTTAAAGATCTAACAGGCTGGGTGGTCTGTGTCTGGTTGGGCAGCTCCTGATTTAGCATGCCAGCTTTTCTACCAAGCCTTCAGAACGTGGACAGAAGAAGGACGTTGTATCGCTTTTGAGCTCGATGTTGAATCCTATCTGAGTGAAACAGAAAGGTTCTTGAATGGATTGTGGATCCCTAACGTTGTGGATGTACAGACCATGCAGAGTTGGAGCTAAAAGCCTCGTACAATCTTTTGCTTACACTGTTGCAAATTGTAGACATGTTATCTTGCAGGTTATGTCCCGAATCAGGCTTAATGTGAATTCATTTAAATATAAGCCACAGCGGTAATACTACATTATCAAAGGGATCTGTTTTTTCAGTGGTGATCCCAGTCTTTAAGATTAATATACAAGAAAGCTGAAGAAGGGCCACAGAAGCAACAGCCACACTTCATTTAGGTATTACCTTATAGCTGCCTGGACTTAGCTCTGTATTCTCTGACTGGTTTTGTGTGAAGAAGCCAGTTAAGGGGTTGTGTGTTTAGATGACTGAGCTGGAGCTATTGTCAGGTTTGCACTGTCCCTCAGTGGATGTGTGGACATTTCTGCTGCTTCTTCTGTTTCACTTGCAGTGATGACATTGTGTTTTTTGACTGTCTGTGACAACTGGAGGCGACAAGTAATAACCAGTGCGGAGCTGATGGATTGGACTGAGGATGACGTTGATAATTACAGTGTTTTGGAAAAATTCCTACATTAGGATTCAGTGGCATGAATCCTTCTGTGCATCTTCGTCTATTCCCAAGGCAACCAGAGATGCTTTTACCCCCCATCAGCTGTGGCTGAATGAACCCCAAGTTGCCTACCGGTGTACCTACCAGTGTGTGAATGACATGTATTTTAAAGCGCTTGGAGTGGTCTATTCAACTGGAAAAGATGATGACCTTTTTTTTTTAAATGTCCCTGCCTAGTAAAGGACGTTTTTCACTCTTGTATGTGACCCAAGACAGTTTAAGCTATCGATGTTTGGGTTATTGAATTATTGCACGAGGGGTTAGGCACCTGCAGAATGGACTGGACTGCTCATCTCAGTTGGAGGTGGATTCATTTGTCAGTACTGACTCATTGTGGTCTGAGCACAGTGTAGGCATTTCATGTTAAAGTTGACTAATTAGCCTTTTTTTTTTTCTTGGAAATGGTCTAATCCACAAATGGATGAAGCAACAGTTTTTGGCGGTTTTCCCGTGTTTTCTCATTTCCAGTTCTTGTAAAACGGAACAGATTAGTCAGACCACAACCAGCCTCTGTAACCATGGCAACCTGCATTTGAACACATCCTTAAGCAGCAGTAGAGTAGTTCTGTGCTGAACCCGTATTCCAGATGGAAAAACAAAGGCTGCAGCCTTTAAGGGAAAACTGTGGTGTGGGAGTAAGTGAGAGCTGTAAAAAAGAATAACTGAGTAGTGGTTCATAGATGTGGTTTTATGCAGCCGCTCAGGTGCCCTATCAAAGATGACGGATGGCTGGAAAACGGCGCTGAGAGAAAATGTGGTTTGTGCGCGCATTTGAAATGGATTCTCATGTGCTTAACAGTCTGAATTGATCTGTCTCCACGACTCATGATTTTCATTCTGGGAAACATCCATCCTAGCTTGGACTGTTTTACTGTCAATTTTGTTCTTTTCGAGGGGACATTTAGACATAAGGGAAAATAACAATGAATTACCACATTTACTTTGCGACTCCATTTATTATGTTGACTGAGAAATTACAAATAAGCCTGGTAATGGATCTATGGGTCCCTCTTTGCCTCTCAGCATGAAACTCGACACCTGCATTGGAGCTGCCGCCGACAGAGATGCATCACCTGCTAGTCTCTGCTATTTGCCAAGCCCTTTCCCTCCCTCTCAGCCAAATACACATTGCATACAAATGTCCACACACAGAGACACACAAGTTGACAAAAGACGTGTAGCTTTTGTCACCCATAATGTATGCTGTGCGTCACCTGACTC